TGTTGATGTACAAACGTCGTTTTAAACGTCACCTCTTTCCCTTTTGTGTTTCGTTTCCCGTTAAGCGTCGGCTTCTAATTAGATGCTTGCATTCGGCAGCATCACAATCAAAACAAAAATCGAAAATAAATTTGTTGCAAAACCCGTTTGCTAATTTTCATTTTGTTTTGTTTCATGTAAAACTACAAATCATTTCGTTTCGTTTATTCCAACAAAATCACCTTCAGGCATTGTTGTTCCTAGTTCATAGTTTGGTGTGCTTTACTGCCTAAAGCACATTTCGCAATATTATTCTCTTTGTTTGGTCTGTTCGCTTTAATATAGCAAATTGTTGTTGTTACATTTATTCTCCTTTTCTCGTTGTAACAACAGTCAAATTCATTTGCTTGATCATCCACCAACATCACTGCATGCTTTGTCGTTGTTCTCTGATCAGCACTTGTTGTTTGTGCTTTGTTAGATAAGTGAACGAACATAACAAACAAAGGAAGAATATTTTTGTTTGCTCCTCTTTCCGTCGCGTCCGTTTAGATTGAGTAGCTACCCTACATTGGTCGGCCACCGTTGCTTGTTATATTAGTTGGTATTGCGTGTAAAATTAAAGTTATATATAAGTATATAATTTATATATAGTTTGTATATAAGTTATATATAGTTTGTAACTCCTCGAAATACTCATGTCACACCCAACAAAGTATATAAATTCTTTATCAGCGTAAAATTCTAAGACGATTAAGCGATGTCTGTCTGTCCGTCGGTCTGTTGTAATCACGCTATCTTTCGAACGAATTGAGATAAAAGGCTAAAATTTTGCACACATGTTAAATTTACCAGTAAACAGGTTAAGTTCGTAAATGGCCATGTAGGTCCAGGTTTTCGTATAGCCCCCATATATAAGCATCTCCTGATATTCTGTATTTTTATGATTTTAACGACAGTATTCACCGGAATTGTTTCAAATTTCTGCCTAAGGCAGAAAATTTTTTATGCAGGTCCACGTCTTCGTATAGCCCCATATAACGGTACCTCCATATATTCAGTATTTTGATTTTAGCGACATTATTCACCGGAATTGTTTCAAACTTGGTGTTTGAAGTTCGTTATAAATACTACAGCCTAAGGCAGATAATTTTATATGCAGGTCCACGTCTTCGTATAGCCCCCATATAACTGTACATCCCAATATTCGGTATTTTGGTGATTTTAGCGTCATTATTCATGTAGGTGCACGTCGTACAGCCGTAATATTACGGCTATATGACGTATTTTTAAGATGTTAGCAGAATTTTTGGCGAATGTTATTTTTTTCGAAAATTTCCAAATTCGTTCTAAATGGTCCACGACTTCGTTTGGCCTGGCCGAACTTACTGCTTTTTTACTTGTTGTTGTCTTTGATCTTTTAAAAATTAATACAAAATATAGGCGGTCATTTTGACAAGTTGAATAAATAAAATTAAAATTTTTATTTTATTTATTTTTCCATTTTTCCCCAATTTACTACGGCGTTTCTTGCTATAATTGTGGCCTTCGCTCCTCTTCAAAATTTCTTAAGAGACTCAGACGCTCTGATAGAATTTGGTGCACAACTTGGTGCAATAAAGATGACGATTTAGATATTAGTATGCTAGGTGAAAGGAAGAGCAAGTTAGAAAAACTATGGCAATCGGTCTATAAGTCATTACAAAGCTCAGAAAATTCGAAAAATATTACAAAAGAATATCTGCATTTGGCAGAAAGTAAATATAATGTTTCTTTAAACATTTACTCCAGCACTATGGCCGCAATAATAAAAAAATATAAAAGATCGTTGTGTATTAAAAAGTCCGATTAAAATCGCGGACAAAACTCATGAGCAATCGGCTTAATCTCTTTTGGTTCCTGAATCGCAGGAAAAGATTGCCGCAAATATTTCATTTGGTTGAGATATCGTTCACAATATTGCAATGCCCCCTATTGATAGTGATATTTTCAACGGAAATTTTTCTTCCAGGCCTTCCTTTCAAGATTCGTTTAGTGCTATTTTTATAAGTAATTTAGTGATGTGCGCTTTAGTGATGTGCAGCGCCTGTATTACTTGCTGCAAAAAACTGTAGTTGATGCAAGGGAAATAGTTTCGCAGTTTCGTGGTTTTGCTTTGGCTTAGAAAGCATTACATGATGAGTATGACAATACTCGTATATTGGTACATCGACAGTTGTCTTCGTTATTTAGACTTCCAATTCCAGATAAGGAAACAATCTCTGGTTTGAAAGAGATTCGATTTGGAATTAATCGTTGTATCTCCTTCATGTCGACTTACGACGATCCCACAGATCAATGGGATCCGATACTTGTCTTTCTTTGCCTGCAACGCTTATCGGAAAGATTTAGTGGAAAGATTTAGTCACCTTTCTTTTAGAATGGATAAACACGCTCGTGTGTTTGGAAAGTTATACAGACAAACCAATTCCCTTGCATAGTAATTATTGTCACTTTTTATCCGCCTCCTTTAAACATCAGGTAGTATTTCGCTGTCATTCGGACAGACAACACCCGCAATATCGTTTGCAAAGCACGTATCGTTGTGCATAGAAAGGCATATGTAGCCACAGGTAATATCAACCAACCAAACTAGCAATAATAGTTGCATATATATTAAGAAAAAACCATTGTGTTTTTATTTATCTTTTACATTTCAGCCTACGATCTACTGCTCGACGCATTCTGCGTATTACGGAGCCCCTCTGAGTTAAACAATTTGTATTGTGTATAGGATGGTACAGAAATTGGTATAACCGCCATATAACTGTACCTCCCGATATTCGATATTTTGATAAAAATTGGTATTTGCAGTTCATAATGGGTTCTAGCCCGCTGGCAGAACATTGAATATTTAGTTCCATGTTTTCTTAAAGCGCACATCCTATACTCATCCATATTTGGTATTTTGAATTCAGATACTTTTATATAAAAATGCTTCCTTTACCCTAAGGTATTGAAAGTTCGGCCCGGCAAACTTAATGTTTTTTAGTTGTTATTCTTTCGAATTAGTTTCTTTCTCATTTGCACTGTTCGATGTTAACCACAAACGAAAAAAGAAACTCTGCGACGCGATTTAAAGTGAACATTTTGTTATTGTAGTATTTTTTTATTTGTTTTCACAGGCTCACTGCAATAAAAATGCACGACACCTAGCGTTTGTATAGAAATGAATATGATGGAGATGATGATTTTGTTGATGTTGATTACTTCTCCCACATGAACTTAGAAGACAATCTAAAATTCATCGATAAGACTGTACTTTTTTTATTTGACTCTTATTTCAATCGTAGCTCGACAGGATCAAATGTTGATGCGCTCAAATTGAACTCAGATATAAGAGGGAGAAAAATAGAAAAAAATCAAATTATTATTTTTTATTGATATTATAATAAAGAGGAAATGCGTTTTACATTACTAATAACACACGATCTTGTAATATTTAAAATGTTGGGCACGAACACTCAACCGACAGGCAAGGCGCCAATTCAATGTTGCAATACGAAGTAGTGAACGGCTTTCAACGAATGTACTGTACGATAAGTGGTGCAACAAACTGCACATGATCCCATTCCAAATAAGTGGATACAATTCTTACTTAAGCAACACATTTAGAAATAGTATGATGATAAATATGATATTTTAAAATTCAATAGATTGCAAGTAAAGATATAAAACTACTTACTATGATAAAACCAAATAAAGTTATATCCAATGATGATATATCCATTTTCCCTAATTTCAAAATTTCCAAAGCTTATAGAATAAGATCTTGATTCAATAAAATAGACCAGTGGAATTTATTACTGCACAACGGTTTACGTGCTCTCGCTTGCTTTCTTTGAAACATTGTTCCGCCGCAGCAGATTCGTTTTCGTTAATAAAGGGAAGCATAGTATAACACACGATCTTGTAATATTTAAAATGTTGGGCACGAACACTCAACCGACAGGCAAGGCGCCAATTCAATGTTGCAATACGAAGTAGTGAACGGCTTTCAACGAATGTACAGTACGATAAGTGGTGCAACAAACTGCACATGATCCCATTCCAAATAAGTGGATACAATTCTTACTTAAGCAACACATTTAGAAATAGTATGATGATAAATATGATATTTTAAAATTCAATAGATTGCAAGTAAAGATATAAAACTACTTACTATGATAAAACCAAATAAAGTTATATCCAATGATGATATATCCATTTTCCCTAATTTCAAAATTTCCAAAGCTTATAGAATAAGATCTTGATTCAATAAAATAGACCAGTGGAATTTATTACTGCACAACGGTTTACGTGCTCTCGCTTGCTTTCTTTGAAACATTGTTCCGCCGCAGCAGATTCGTTTTCGTTAATAAAGGGAAGCATAGAAAGAAATTAGAAACGAATACAATGCTATGTAAAGATCTGACTATAAATAGCAATCCTCACTATGTGCCAAGTCCAAGTCCATAACAAATACAAAAATAAATGACTGAATTGTTATTTCTTTTAATAAATATAACTTTTATAAAATGTATATAACACAAAGTTGTATTTAATTTAATTATAATTGACTTAAACTTGCAAAAGATTTTTTAATAGGTAATTTGGTCGGAAGTAATTAATTTAAATTTTACAAGAATTGCGTACAAAACAAAATAGTTTTAGAGGGAGCTAAAACTATTTTTCAACAATTAGAAAAATAATATACGTTTTTTTAAAAATAGAACTGTGTTGGCTTGTTTGTTTTGGATACCATAGTGTTTTGTTGTTGTAAAATGGTCAGGCTTAATCCCTTTATTGTTGTTTTTATAAAAACATCATCATTTCCCTTGTTTTTTATCTGGGATATTCTCCCCAGAAGATATTTTAAAAATAACTTCTATGACAAAAAAAAACATTTTTTTACCCAAGTTACGAGATCGTAAGCTCAATAGAAAAGGAACCAAAGAATTAAATAAAACTAAAATTCTTTGAAAAGCCTTCCAAATCTTACAATCGCACTTATAAACATTTTCATCTTTCTCCACTTGTTATACTTTCGTTTTACATGAACGAAGTGGCATAACCATGTAAGTTGGTTTTGTCTGTTACAACAAAAACCCCTTCGTCGACCATGCCTTGTCTATTAATAGAACAGTGTTGGCTTATTTGTTCGGGATAACATAGTATATTGCTGTTGCAAAATGGTCCCTTTATTGTTGTTTTTATAAAAACGTTTGTTCTTTAGTATTAAGTACTTACCGATACTTTATATTAATAAACATTAAGATTATTTATAAATGTGTTCTTTGGGGTTTAAGGAAAAATGCAATATTGAACAGATTGATGAAGGCAACGAAAGTGATTTACTTGAAGCAACGAACTCACCTTTAACATTTTGATTTAAACAAGTATCTCCTAATTCGAATCAGGTTTCCTCTAGCGGCTATCCGGTTAGGGAAACTGTCCACCCACCGAGATTACCTCTCGCCATGACACCCCTATTCACAGGGTGCCCCATATTCGATCCCTTCACTTACCCCTCTAACTCATTCCTACCACCCTTTTAAAGAGTTTTAAGCCGAATACATCGCTATCAATTTAAAAAATGAGTCTTAGTGAAAATTAGATGCACATCAAAAACAAGTTATTAACAAGAGATCAAAACAAAATACATTGTAAAAAATGGTTTTCTTGGTTTCATTAAACCATTAATATTCTTTATTCTCTCTTCTTTCCAGGCAACCTCTTTATTTTCAGGTTATATCTGGCGGCTGATAAAGATTATTTAGGCTTGATCTGGAGGCGGCTCTTCCCAATGTGTAAGTAAAATATTCAAGTTTTTGGTGGTAGCGTTGTAATTATATTCCGGACACACTGTAGAACCTTTTTATAACGTTTCTTTTTTATTTTTGTATATTAACGAAAGGTCAAACAATGCAGATCGGGGCCGTACAAATTCGTAACACTTGAGCTCAACCGCGAGAGGAATCTTGTGCCCAATGAAGTAAGTAGACACTTAACTGCTTGTTTTCCCTTCTACTAACTTTTACTCGTTTTCTCTTTTCTTTCTATGCAATATTCACCGAATTTAACTGATTTGTCGTCATCCGTTCTGCCGTCCAAGTTAAGAGTACAATGTCTTTGGGAATTATACCAGGTGTAGAGGTTCCTGGTTTATTACACCGATAGGCCAACAATCGATACCTCAACAATTACCTGCTGTCATCAAGAGAGATTGATCGCTAAGCTAGAAGAAGCAAGAAGCTAAACTTTGCCACAACAAAAAGAATTGTTTTAACAAATAAATACATAACAAGTGTTTTACAAGTGCCTTAACCACCAGTGCCTTGTTAGCAACACGTAAGTATCGCCTGTATACTTGTTGTGTTGTCTAATATTCATAGTTTTGTTGTTCGTCTTTGTGCAACAAATAATATACTTTCGGATCTAAATCTACTCTGTAGATTTAGAACCCCTACAAAATAAAACAATTCTTTTTTACAATTTTTATTTGTCGTCTTCGCTTTTGTTCTGTTGCCAAATAATCAACAGAGTCATTTTAAAGAGAAAAACTCTTTTATATGTATGTTTGTTGTTGCTTAACACAAATTAATATACACTAACACCATAATAACTTTGCTGCATCATTTTTTGTTACATTTGTTTTGCTTACATTCGTGAACAACAAATATAACAAGCTTTGTCATCTGTTTCATTGCTTCTTTGATCGATCTGTCATTTACCATTGTTCGACTATCGATCAGCTGGTGTGGTGAAAAAGAGTTGTGCAGTTACTGCGACGAGTAACGTAACGTATAAAGCTAGTACATATATTGAATACCACAATAATAAACAAACAATCGAATATAACAAAAAATAAAATTAATTAATAAATCTTAATTAAAAAAGCACATAAATCAACAACATACATATATCTAAAAATTAACAACATTGTTAATAGTTCTCTTAAGGTTTAAAAAATAAACGTTTATTGAGAAAAGAAGGATATACGCAACAAACACATTTGAAATTTTATATAACTTCATTTATTTCTAAATTTATAAATAAATTGATAGTTGAAGTGTTTGTATATTCAAAAATAATAAAATTTATAAATAATAAAAATAATTTTAAAAATATCAATAAATATCAAAAACTAAATATCAAAAAATAAAAACTAATAAAATAAACTAAATAACTAATTTAAATTAATATTACAAAATGGTTTCTTAAATGTATGCTAGATTCGAATACGAGACCGAAAACCTAATGCAAACTTGCATTAAAATAGGAAGCACAGCAGAGAACGAGCTGTCTGATTCTTTAATAGAAACAAAATTAGAATCAATGGATGAAGATTGGCACAATGTACGCAGTGAATTTGAAAGTGTCTATTTTAATGAGGGAGATGAAGATTACAAATTGAGGCCTAGAGATATGTTTGCTTTCGCCAGAGATAATTACCAAGTGACTAAAGCTACTATATTGGAAATATTAAAAAATCGAAAGGCGCAGAGCAAAAGTAATACCGCTAGAGGCGAAGTTACAAATCCATCGTTGTTTCACAGCTCAGCTATTTATTCTCCGGGTACAACGTTTGATATGTCTGAGATTTGTATTAAAGTGCCACCTTGTGACACTCAAGACTTCTACGGAAGTTATGAAGAATGGCCAACATTTAGAGATATGTTTACGGCTATTTATGGAAATCATCCCAGACTCACACCTGCGCAGAAACTCTATCATTTGCGTAACAAACCAAAGGGTGAGGCTGGTAGAATTGTAGATCGGTACCCTTTATCTGATCAAAATTTTTCGTTAGCATGGAAAGCATTATTGGTGCGATACGAAAATGTTAGGGTACTAGTTGATAACCAACTGAAGATATTATTCAATCTTTCTGCAGCAACGGTTGAATCTAGCAAAGATATTAAAAGAATACAAATGACAGTAAGTGACTGCTTGGCTATATTGAGAGCTCATAGTATAAAAGTGGACCAATGGGATCCAATTTTAATACACTTATGTTCAACTAAGCTTCCGGTTGATACACTGACCCTAATGGAACAATCGCTCGAATCACATTCAGAGCTAGCCAAATGGTCGCAAATGGAAGATTTTCTTAAGAACAGACATCGGGTTCTAGAGCAAATAGATGGTCTCAGAAGTCAAACAGCTTAAACTTCCTTTAGCAATGATCATATATCGCATCAAAATGCTCATTCGACACAATCAAATAGATGTGTCATGTGTTATAAAAACCATATTTTGAAAAATTGTATGAGATTTAATAATATGACTGTTAATCAGAGAAAAGAGTTCGCAAGAGAAAAGAGGTTATGTAATAACTGCTTAAAGTGTGGACATAACAAAAGGGAATGTTTCAGTGCGCACCGATGTTTATATTGTAAGAAAAAACATCACACAAAGTTGCACATTGGAAACGCAGACACTCTACCAAGAAGTCATACGACATCAATTATATCACATAGAGCTTCAGAGGCAAATATTCAACTAAATCATGTCACGACAGATGACATGCCCTGTACTACAAGTTCTACCTTCCAAAGCTCAAATACGCAAACAAATTTATCAATCAGTGATGGTGATGTTTTGTTACCAACTGCGATTGTAAAAATCAAGCACTGTGGGAAAACTTTTACAGCTAGAGCTTTATTAGACACTGGATCGAAACGATCATTTATAACAACTAAAGCGGTAGAAAGAATAGGGAGTGCAACAACTAAGTCTAATTTCCATATTAGCGGGATAAGTGGTATACAAATAAATGTGCAACATATCTTTGTGTGGAAATGCAAACAAAACAGTAGAAGTAAACGCTTTAGTTATCGAAAACATAACGAAAAACAATTCCACTGAATTTATTCCAATGTCTACGCCGAATGAAATCCGTGAACTAAAACTTGCAGATCCTCTTTTCTTACAATCAAATGAGGTTGATATATTAATTGGTAGTGATATATTACCATCCATAATATTGAATGGAACTAGAACAAATGTGTTTGGGAGTATGATAGCTCAAAATTCCATCTTTGGATGGTATATAAATGGTCCTATAATTAATAAGAAAAGAAATATATGCAACAAGGAAATACTGAAGAAAGAACAAGTTAAAAAGCACTAAGTTCGGCCGGGCCGAACTTTTAATACCCTCCACCATTTGCAACGAATTTGGAAATTTTTAAAAAATAAAATCCTTAAAAAATTCTGTTAAAATTTCAAAAATACCGTGGACATACATAGGCATTGTTTGTCATACGCCATTACCATATTCAAATTGGAAACTTGAAATAAACGGTAAATAATGTAGCTAAAATCATCAAAATATCTTATATAAGGAGGTGCCGTTAAATTGGAGCTGTGCAAAAACCTGGACCAGCATAGACAGTTTTCTGTCACAGGCTGTAGCATCCATTACGAACTTCATGTACCACATACCACAAACAATTTCGGTGGGTATTGTACCTAAAATCGTCAAAATACCGAATATGGGGAGGTACTGATATATGGGGCCTATACGAAGACGTAGACCTGCACAGACAATTTTCTGTCTTAGGGTGTAGTATACATTACGAACTTCAAGTACCAAATTTGAAACAATTCCCGTGAATAATGTCGTTAAAATCACCAAAATACCGAATATCAGGAGGTACCGTTATATGGGGGCTATACGAAGAAATGGACTTGCACAGACAATTTTCTATCTTAGAATTTAGTATACATTACGAACTTCAAATACCAATCTTCAAACAATTCCGGTGAATAATGTCGCTAAAATCATGAAAATACCGAATATAGGGAGGTACTGATATATGGGGCCTATACGAAGACCTGGACCCGCACAGAAAATTTTCTGTCACAGACTGTAGTTCCTATAACAAACTTCAAATACCAAATTTGAAACAATTCCCGTGAATAATGTCGTTAAAATCATCAAAATACCGAATATCGGGAGGTACCGTTGTAAGGGGGCTATACGAAGACATGGACTTGCACATACAATTTTCTGTCTTAGACTGTAGTATTCATTACGAACTTCAAATACCAATTTTGAAACAATTCCGGTGAATAATATCGCTAAAATCATCAAAATACCGAATATAGGGAGGTACTGATATACGGGGCCTATACGAAGACCGGGACCCGCACAGACAATTTTCTGTCACAGACTGTAGTTCCTATAACGAACTTCAAATACCAAATTTGAAACAATTCCCGTGAATAATGTCGTTAAAATCATCAAAATACCGAATATAGGGAGGTACCGTTATATGGGGGCTATATGAAAACGTGGACCTACATGGCCCATTTACGAACTTAACCTGCCTACTGGAAAAAAAAAACATGTGTGCAAAATTTTAGCCATCTATCTCAATTCATTCGAAAGATAGCGTGATTACAACAGACAGACGGACAGACAGACGGACATCGCTAAATCGACTTAGAATTTTACGCTGATCAAGAATATATATACTTTGTTGGGTCTGACATGAGTATTTCGAGGAGTTACAAACGGAATGACAAAGTTAATATACCCTCCATAGTATGGTGGAGGGTATAAAAATATAAAAAAGTAGCGGCGCACCAACACTAAAGTTATACATACATCCATTTAATGCAAATCAGGGATGTGGATTACGAGACTATTCGTCTGAATTGGTACTTGAAAATGTATTTATAACATTATTAAATATTAACAGAAACACAAAATTGGCGACATTAAGAAAATGTACCTTGTTGTAAAATATGATAAATTTATTGATCGAGTCCGAAATTACTTAGTACTAATGACAGAGGTGAAACATTTATTAAAAACAAATCTTGTGTCTCAGGCACAGTAAATGGTGGTTAGGTAATTGCAAATCAACCGCTGAAGATCTTTTGTACTTTTTAAATCAAAGTCACTGGAGGTGACAACTAAAATTTGAAATGAATATAATGATTTGTACTAAAATTGTTCACTAGAAGAGGATAATTCATAACAAATTACAGTAGATGATTTGTTACGACATATGAATGGGTCACTAGAGGTGCATGAAGAAAAAATGACTTTCTAAAAAGCAAAATAATATTGCTGATGTCAAATATGAATGAAAGAAATTATGATGATAATGTTACTAGAGGTGGTTACAAAGGTGGTCAATTTTCAAAATTGATCTCTCCAAAAAAAGAAAACATTAAGAAAAGTGGAAATGTTTCACTAGGGATGGTTATTTGTCACTAGAGGTGACATAAAGAAATTATGAAATGAATTTGAAGATAAAAAATGAAGATAATAATTGTTCCAATGCCATATTGGGTATGGTACACATTTCTTGCTTTTGAGTATTTCTTTCTAGAACAAGTTGATCAAATTCAAAAGGAGAATTGGCGGGTTTGCCCTTTTCAATCGAAAAAGTTTGGCCCAAACAAATTTAAGTTGCTGAAGATGATTACCATGAAAAAGCAAACCGAGTACACTTCAAGAGGTTGCACCAGTGCAAGGGGCCCGGCATGTTGAGGTTCCTGGTTCATTTCACCGATAGGCCAACAATCGATACCTCAACAATTACCTGCTATCATCAAGAGAGATTGATCGCTAAGCTAGAAGAAGCAAGAAGCTAAACTTTGCCACAACAAAAGGAATTGTTTTAACAAATAAATACATAAATTCAGACCGTCAGAATCTTGTAATTAAAACAAGTGTTTTATTGAAGCCTTAACCATCAGTGCCTTGTTAGCAACACGTAAGTATCGCCTGTATACTTGTTGTGTTGTCTAATATTCATAGTTTTGTTGTTCGTCTTTGTGCAACAAATAATACACTTTCGGATCTAAATCTACTCTGTAGATTTAGAACCCCTACAAGTCCACACGCCTGTAACGGAACTTCTACACCAGGGGCTTGCCAGACTAACAAAGCCGCTAATCTGCGCTACCCACGTTGGACTGGACGGTGTTGGTGTGGCTCCTGATGTAAATTCTAAGATTGTTTCCAAGTTTTGTGTTTCAATATTTGTCTTTAGTTGTTTAATTAATTACATTTAATCTTTCTTTAATATTTTTTCTTTTTAAGTTTAAAAACAAAAAGAAAATTTAATAAACGCCAAAAAATACAATTTAAAAAGAATTCGGGTTTTTTTGTTGTTCTTGCTGTTGTCGGTTAGCGGGAGCCACACAACCAATTTTTTCACCATTGAAAATCAAAAGGGGAAATTTTTGATTGTCAGACTTATTTTCTTTTGGTTTTTCTTCTCCTTCATCTTGACATTTTTGTTTTTCTTCTCCTTTATCTTGACATTTTTGCATGCGGTTGCAACAAAACAGATGTTTTTGCAGATGTTTGGCAATATTCTTCTTCTTTTTTATTTATTCCTTTTAAGCTTAACCCTCTATAAGACGCACCCACAAAGCCAACTATCCTGCCGACATCCTTATCAAGGTATAGGAGGGAAAAAGTACAAAATTCAATAAATTAATTTTGATGCAAACCTGCTTTGTATGTGTTACCTATAACAAGAAACTTTATTTGGCAACTCTAAACTTTCTCGATCTGGCAAATCTATAATCTTTTGTGAATGGCAACAAGCGTTGTCGGTGAGTACATGCAAATGGAAAGAAAAACGGAAGAAAAAGAAAAGAAGGAAAATACTGCAAATATCGAAACCAATATAAAAGTGATGAAGATTCTTTATCTGCATCTTTATCTCAATGTGTAAGTAAAATGTTTAAGTTTGTGGTAGTAGCGTTGTAATTACATTCCGAACACACTGCAGAACCTTTTTATAACGTTTCTTTTCTTGTATTTTCAGAAAAAGTCAAACAATGCAGATCAAATGGCCGCTCAGTACATCTGAATTTTAATGGCTATATTCCTTGATATGTAGTAAACTAAATGTAGCTGAAGCCATTTATATGTGTTTTAAAATGTAGTGAAAAATTAGGCAAAATAGAGGAAAATGGGAACCGGTATATAACGCAAAAACCGGAAACCTAAATAAATAAATTTTTTTTTTATTGTTGGCAAGTTTCGTTGGTGAATTTAAAAATAAGTCTGTCCAAATTGTGGACCAAGTGCCTTTGTGCCGAGTTGACCAGCAAACCGCCAACAATTAATTTATTCTGGTTAGTCTGGTGGCGAAATCCTCCCGAACACCCACTTTATCACACCATTAAAAAGGGTAAAGGATAAGAGAATAACATTGAAAAGAGGTAACCCACTATAATAACGTCGATCGTTGCTAAGATCTGAGAGAGAAATTCCGTGGCGGTTATACCAACCCTCAGAATACTGAGAACTGTAACGTTTCTAAAAAAATTAATTTGTGTGTGTGAATGTGTTGTCTGTGTGTTTGTTCTAGTTATAAGTATTTGATTTCTAATTTTTAGAATTTTTTAATGCCGGACACCTGGTTTTTTTAAGTGTAACTTATTTTTCCTGAAGAACGCTAGAAAAGACTTTGACGTAGTAAATAATATCAGACTAAAATCTTTCTTAAGTGAGCTATCTTAGGGTAAGAATTTCGTAAAGAAGAAACTGTTCGACTAAATACGTTTTAGGTTCCCTTTATTGCTTCGACGGGAATACCTAATATTGATGACATTAGCCTTTTTTGATTGCCTTAGGTATGGTGTTAGAAAGTCCATGTATGGATAATAGCCTACAAAGGTAAGATACAAAATTAGAATTAAGATATCTATGTTTTAATAAATGTTTTAATGTAGCTTTTATGTAAAAGAAAATATGTGTGAATTTTTGGTAAACAGGGAGGAATCCAAAAGGTTATGAGGTGAATGTATGTGTGTGCTGTGGTGGTTCCAATAATATTTGAAGCGGGGAGGAAACCATAATTGGGATGGCAAAATGTGGGAGTACAACACCAATACTGCCTTGTCAAAGCAGGTTTATTGTTTGTAAATGTATGTTTGTTTTGTCTAGTAAAGTTTAACTCATGTTTGCCCTGATGGTCTAGAGAAGAGGACGGGTTGAGAACCGTAGACCCAAGACCACTAGCTAACCGAAAGGTCCCCTCTAGCGCCGCTTAACAGGGATCATAACAGATGGCGGCCAAATTAAAAAAAAACAGTTCCAATGGAACAAAAAGTTAGTGACATTGTGCAATAACATATAAGTGCCATAAAAATAGCTTAAATGGAATCCATAGTCATAAGGGTTATGTCAATGTCCATCAGCCTGGCTAATATTGAGCTGCGTTTTCTATAGCAAACACGTTATGTGCAATATTAGATAAGGATAGCATAGAATATTTAGCATAATGACTTCTATTTACCTTTAGTCAGTGCAATAACTTGTATAATTGAAAAAGATAGATTTTCAAGTAAGGGATAGTGCAATATTCATCCCAGTTATGATAGATCAGATGCTAGTTGGACTATCTATCTGCGAGATCTTTTTCTTTAAATATTAGGAAACTGCCGTGGAGACTAGCTTGAAAATATGACTCTATGAAACAATTGTTGGTTAATTTAATATAACTGCCTGCATTGAAAACCTCAAGGATATTAAAGAAATACACGCACACATAGCGTCTATCACTTTAAAGTCAGGAAGCTGTGAGGAATTCCGTTCAGTGTTTGCTATAAGCTCGGCGTATTCGTCCGATTTGAAGGCGGACGAATCTAAATCAATTAAAGACTTTATTTCTATTAATACCTCTTGTGGTGACTTAAGTGAGATCCGTAACCACTTGTCATTGTTACACTCCATGTAATTGTATTGTGATACTTTCTGCTCGTGACGATGTGGCAACATATGGCACTTGTCACTACAGCATCTTTGTTTTGTATTCATTCGTACATTTCAATCAAAGCAACCGGTCACCATTTTCAATTCGATCCTTTTTGCATTATCGTAGATTAAGTTATTTATAATAAAGTATCATTATCATTATAACGTAAAGATCGTGCATTATTTATTCATCAGTCTCAACAAGACACAACAGTTTGGCGACGAGCGTAAAAAGTGGAATATTATTTTGGAAAACTAATATTCTGCATATTTTTTTTCTATTAAAGCAAGTGCAAGCTTTTAACAACAACACAAATATAACAAAATGGATGCATCTCAATTTGCCGCGTTTATGGATATGCAAAAGGCGTTGTTTAGCCAAATATCGAAGATGACTGTGGGTGCTCCTACTTCAAGTGCAGCGCAAGGCAGCAGCAACACCAGCATCAACACGACATTGGTACCAAACTTCGATCATTTTGATCCGGCAAAGGAAATGTATACCAATTATATAGAGAGGTTTAACAACTACATTGCAATGAAGGGCGTCAGTGCTAATAAGGAGTACTGTACAAAGTTGCTTCTTAACTCTATTGGTGCGAAGTACTTTAACATGGTGACGGCGTTGGCAGCGCCCAGAGCAGCGGCAGATCTGCAATACGATGAATTGCTAACCATTTTGCAAAATCATTTAGCACCGAAAAAGAATGTGTTGGTGGCACAACACAAATTTTTATCAAAATATCAGATGCAAGGGCAATCAGTGGCAGATTTTGTGGCTGCACTCCGTACTGATATTAATTCGTGCGAATTTGTTTCACCGTGCAAATGTGGAGCGTCCATAGCCGATGTGTTTTTGAGGGCACAATTTATTCGAGGCCTTTGTGACAATACTGTACGCGAACAACTTCTTCAATCCAGTACGGCGAAAATTGATGAAATTGTTGGGAAGGCATTGGCTCTAGAGGCTGCGAAGATGGACGCCAGAGAATTGTCCCAAGCAACGGCAAATTCTTCAAATTCGACGGATATAAATAAAATTTTTAATAAAAGCCCATCGAAAAATTTCAAATCTCGTCAGGGGCAACAGAAGCGTAAAGTCAATTACGAGCAATTAGGTATTGCCGGTCTATGTTTACGCTGCGGCAAAAACAATCATTTTGCGAAGGAGTGTCGCTCTAACAAAAATCTTAAATGTAACTTGTGTGCCAAGCAAGGGCATGTAGCAAAAGTCTGCATTGCTTCACTTTTGGCGGATGGTCCTAATGCCGGACGACGGGGTAAACCCAGTACGAGGGAGGCGTCCACGAATCAAGTACGTGATGATTCGTACGGTATTTATAAAATCGTGGATGTGTACCGTAACGATTACGCAAATGCCAATGCTGAGCGTTACTATGCGAATATCTTCATAGAAGGTAGAGTGGTATCTTTTGAAGTAGATTCTGGCTCTGGATACTCATTTTTGCCTAGGAGTGAATTTGGGAAATTAAAATTGTCTAACCAATTAACCGCCACAAACATCGTTTTCCGATCATACACCCAAGATAAATTCGTACCAGATGGGAAAGTCCGAGTAAATATAAAATACAAAAACGTTTCATTCATCGATGATCTCTACGTTGTCCCAGACGGGTGTTCGGCGTTAATTGGTCGTACATGGATACGTCGTCTAGGAATTAATCTAAACGAGCTAGACGAACATAAGTCGAACAACATGGTTACCAATTCTATCGGTGAGTCGAGCGACATTCAAGAATACATTTCCGAATTTTCAGCTGTATTTCAACAAAAGATTGGCTGCATCCCTAGCCATAAAGTTTCACTTCAATTGCGTGAAGATGCCACACCAACCTATACAAAAGAGCGTCAAATTCCATACGCCTTAACCGAGCGTGTTAACAAGGAGCTGGAAGAGTTGGAGAAGGCTGGCATAATCACCAAGGTTGCCAATAGTGACTGGGGGTCACCACTGGTGGTCATCCCTAAAGCTGACGGTGGAGTGCGCCTTTGCGTTGACTACAAGGTGGGAGTCAACCAGCGACTTGTGAATGCTCATTACCCCATTCGGAAAATAGATGCAATTTTCAATAGTCTCAGGGACTCTAAACATTTTTGTCGGCTTGATTTATACAAAGCCTATTTACATGTGCAAGTGGACCAAAAGTCAAGCGAAATTCAAACCATTTCGACCCACAAAGGGACTTTTCGAATGAATCGTCTGTCCTTCGGCATTAAAACTGCCCCGGCGGAATTTAATAGGATTATAGATCAAATTTTACGGGAAGTGCCCAAAACAGAATCCTATTTTGACGACATCGTGGTACATGGCGAGACTTTGAGTGAGTGCAAAGCAAACTTAAAATTATGTTTAGCCCAGTTGCAGAAGTACGATCTGCACCTTAATATGGCAAAATGCAAATTTTTTGACAATCAAATGGAGTTTTTGGGTCACGTAATACGGCACAACAAGGTCCAAAAGTCACCTTCAAAAGTACAAGCCATATTACAAATGCCCCAACCAGAAAGTGTAGAAGATGTTCGCCGTTTTTTGGGTATGGTAACATATTACGCAAGATTCATACCGAATTCGTCTACAATTACCACCCCGTTGCGCAATTTACTGCTCAAAAACGCTATTTTTAAATGGACATCGGAATGCCAAAAGTCTTTCGATGTTTTGAAAAGAGAAATTTCCAGCGATCGCGTATTGATGCCGTATAATCCCGATTTGCCGGTACAGCTTGCGTGCGACGCTAGTCCCACCGGGATAGCTGGTGTTTTGTCGCACATTATTGACGGCCAAGAAAGACCGATAGCGTTTGCCTCAAGGTCTCTTACTCCAGCAGAGCAAAATTATTCGCAATTAGATAGGGAAGCCCTAGCAATTGTGTATGCGGTTCAACATTTTCACGAGTACATATTTGGCCGAATTTTTAAGCTTATAACGGATAATAAGCCGTTATCAAGAATTTTTCACCAAAATTCGAAATTGCCCCTAATGACGTCATCTCGACTTCAACGATACGCCGCTTTCCTCACTGGATATAATTACGAAGTCAGTACGAAAAAGGGCGAGGAAAATGTCAATGCCGATTGTCTCTCCAGGGCCCCAATTAAATCAGGGATTGGCACTACAAATTTAATTGATCTAGAAGTACATTCAATTTGCGGGTCAACAATACATCAAATTGCTTCAATAAAATTAAATTTCAAATCACTTCGAGACGCAACAAAGAATGACGCAATGCTTTCCAAAATTTTGTTCGATTTACGTAACTCAAATGTGGTCGATTCGGAGTACACCATCGATGCCGGCATATTGTTCAAAGGGAAAAGGGTCATTGTACCAACTTCACTTCAAGAGGCAGTCTTAGAAGAGTTACACTATACTCATATAGGTATAACCAAGATGAAGCAATTGGCGAGACGTTATGTGTTTTGGTCATCAATTGATAAAGATATTGAACAATTTGTACGTTCCTGTTCTGCGTGTGCCTTGGTAAAGAAAAATCCTCCGAAAGCAGTTCTCCATCCTTGGGAGGAGCCGGATGGAAATTGGCAACGTATTCATATTGATTACGCGGGGCCATATCAGGGATATCAATTTCTTGTTGTCGTCGACGCAAAATCAAAGTGGGCAGAAGTGGGGGTGTGCTCCTCTGCGCCAACATCAACGTCAACAATCGAAATGTTAAACAACATTTTTGCACGCAATGGATACCCTGATGTTCTTGTCTCTGACAATGCAACGATTTTTAAAAGTGAAGAGTTTCAAAATTTCTGCACTAATTCCGGTATCTTCCAGAAATACATTGCACCTGGCCACCCTGCCACAAATGGTCTAGCTGAACGAAATGTTCAAACACTCAAGCAGCGTCTAGCAGCCATGGCAGAGGATCCTTCTCCGATATCTAAAAAAGTAAGAGAAATTTTATTTAAATATCGAGCTACACCTCTTCGAAATGGTAAATCCCCATCAGAAATGTACCTGGGTAGACAAATCCGAATCCGATTGGATGCCTTGAAGCCATCAAAATTAACTCAGTCATCTACGCCACAATGTCCAGTTAGGAAACTGAGTGAGGGAGACCGAGTTCAAGTCCGATACTATACGCCAAACAAACCTGTATGGAAATTCGGAATTATTTCTAAAAAGCTTGGTAACCTTCATTATCTGGTAAAACTCGACAATGGTTATGTCTTCAAGCGCCACATAGACCAACTCCGTTTCACAAATGTAAAACTGCCTTATTCTCCAGATACTGAGCAGACTGAGTCGGTCCCAGATTTTAGTTCAGGGAATGGCGAACAGTCTCATCAGCCTCTAATTATGGCACCCTACATTCCACTGAGTACACATGCTAATGATCCAGAAGTTCCCGGTACTTCCACAACACCAACTGCAGCCGGAACCGAAGCACCAGTTGGAACGCCATCAGCCTCTACCCAAAACGCTGATGCTGAGTCCACACCAAGTCGTCGTACCTCTGCAAGGCAACGGAGACAACCCCAGTATTTAAGCGATTATGTTCGCCATTAGCATTAATCGTAGTAATCATATATGTCCTTGTTTTAGTGGGGGAGAATTGTGGTGACTTAAGTGAGATCCGTAACCACTTGTCATTGTTACACTCCATGTAATTGTATTGTGATACTTTCTGCTCGTGACGATGTGGCAACATATGGCACTTGTCACTACAGCATCTTTGTTTTGTATTCATTCGTACATTTCAATCAAAGCAACCGGTCACCATTTTCAATTCGATCCTTTTTGCATTATCGTAGATTAAGTTATTTATAATAGTGTATCATTATCATTATAACGTAAAGATCGTGCATTATTTATTCATCAGTCTCAACAAGACACAACACCTCTTCTATGTCATACCTTGACAGCGAATCTGGGATGACGCTTTGGGCTCCTTTTCGGTGCTCTATATCAAAGGTGAAAGTTTGCAGCTGTAAACTCCACCTAGCTAACCTGCTGTTCAGAACTCTGTGGGACATCCACCATTTGCTTGCATTCGGCAGCATCACAATCAAAACAAAAACCGAAAATAAATTTGTTGCAAAACCCGTTTGCTAATTTTCATTTTGTTTTGTTTCATGTAAAATAACAAATCATTTCGTTTCGTTTATTCCAACAAAATCACCTTCAGGCATTGTTGTTCCTAGTTCATAGTTTGGTGTGCTTTACTGCCTAAAGCACATTTCGCAATATTATTCTCTTTGTTTGGTCTGTTCGCTTTAATATAGCAAATTGTTGTTGTTACATTTATTCTCCTTTTCTCGTTGTAACAACAGTCAAATTCATTTTCTGTTTTGTTTGTCACAAACAACAACAATACTGCTTTATCATCCACCAACATCACTGCATGCTTTGTCGTTGTTCTCTGATCAGCACTTCTTGTTTGTGCTTTGTTAGATAAGTGAACGAACATAACAAACAAAGGAAGAATATTTTTGTTTGCTCCTCTTTCCGTCGCGTCCGTTTAGATTGAGTAGCTACCCTACATTGGTCGGTCACCGTTGCTTGTTATATTAGTTGGTATTGCGTGTAAAATTAAAGTTATATATAGTTTGTAACTCCTCGAAATACTCATGTCACACCCAACAATGTATATAAATTCTTTATCAGCGTAAAATTCTAAGACGATTAAGCCATGTCTGTCTGTCCGTCGGTCTGTTGTAATCACGCTATCTTTCGAACGATTTGGATAGAAGGCTAAAATTTTGCACACATGTTAATTTTACTAGTAAGCAGGTTAAGTTCGTAAATGGGCCATGTAGGTCCACGTTTTCGTATAGCCCCCATATATAAGCATCTCCTGATATTCTGTTTTTTGATGATTTTAGCGACATTATTCACCGGAATTGTTTCAAATTTCTGCCTTAGGCAGAAAATTTTTTATGCAGGTCCACGTCTTCGTATAGCCCCATATAACGGTACCTATATTCGGTATTTTGATTTTAGCGACATTATTCACCGGAATTGTTTCAAACTTGGTGTTTGAAGTTCGTTATAAATACTACAGCCTAAGGCAGATAATTTTATATGCAGGTCCACGTCTTCGTATAGCCCCCATATAACTGTACATCCCAATATTCGGTATTTTGATGATTTTAGCGTCATTATTCATGTAGGTGCACGTCGTACAGCCGTAATATTACGGCTATATGACGTATTTTTAAGATGTTAGCAGAATTTTTGGCGAATGTTATTATTTCGAAAATTTCCAAATTCGTTCTAAATGGTCCACGTCTTCGTTTGGCCTGATAGAATTTGGTGCACAACTTGGTGCAATAAAGATGACGATTTAGATATTAGTATGCTAGGTGAAAGGAAGAGCAAGTTAGAAAAACTATGGCAATCGGTCTATAAGTCATTACAAAGCTCAGAAAATTCGAAAAATATTACAAAAGAATATCTGCATTTGGCAGAAAGTAAATATAATGTTTCTTTAAACATTTACTCCAGCACTATGGCCGCAATAATAAAAAAATATAAAAGATCGTTGTGTATTAAAAAGTCCGATTAAAATTGCGGACAAAACTCATGAGCACTCGGCTTAATCTCTTTTGGTTCCTGAATCGCAGGAAAAGATTGCCGCAAATATTTCATTTGGTTGAGATATTGTTCACAATATGGCAATGATGATATGATAGTGATATTTTCAACGGAAATTTTTCTTCTAGGCCTTCCTTTCAAGATTCGTTTAGTGCTATTTTTATAAGTAATTTAGTGATGTGCGCTTTAGTGATGTGCAGCGCCTGTATTACTTGCTGCAAAAAACTGTAGTTGATGCAAGGGAAATAGTTTCGCAGTTTCGTGGTTTTGCTTTGGCTTGGAAAGCATTACATGATGAGTATGACAATACTCGTATATTGGTACATCGACAGTTGTCTTCGTTATTTAGACTTCCAATTCCAGATAAGGAAACAATCTCTGGTTTGAAAGAGATTCGATTTGGAATTAATCGTTGTATCTCCTTCATGTCGACTTACGACGTTCCCACAGATCAATGGGATCCGATACTTGTCTTTCTTTGCCTGCAACGCTTATCGGAAGAAACGACAATGCTAAGGGAACAATGTATTAAAAACAAAGCGGTTCTTACTTCGTGGAAAGATTTAGTCACCTTTCTTTTAGAATGTATAAACACGGTCGTGTGTTTGGAAAGTTATACAGACAAACCAATTCCCTTGCATAGTAATTATTGTCACTTTTTATCCGCCTCCTTTAGACATCAGGTAGTATTTCGCTGTCATTCGGACAGACAACACCCACAATATCGTTTGCAAAGCACGTATCGTTGTGCATAGAAAGGCATATGTTGCCACAGGTAATATCGTTTCCACCAACCAAACTAGCAATAAATAGTTGCATATATATTAAGAAAAACCATTGTGTTTTTATTTATCTTTTACATTTCAGCCTACGATCTACTGCTCGACGCATTCTGCGTATTACGGAGCCCCTCTGAGTTAAACAATTTGTATTGTGTATATGATGGTACAGAAATTGGTATAACCGCCATATAACTGTACCTCCCGATATTCGATATTTTGATAAAAATTGGTATTTGCAGTTCATAATGGGTTCTAGCCCGCTGGCAGAACATTGAATATTTAGTTCCATGTTTTCCTAAAGCGCACATCCTATACCCATCCATATTTGGTATTTTGAATTCAGATACTTTTATATAAAAATGCTTCCTTTACCCTAAGGTATTGAAAGTTCGGCCCGGCAAACTTAATGTTTTTTAGTTGTTATTCTTTCGAATTAGTTTCTTTCTCATTTGCACTGTTCGATGTTAACCACAAACGAAAAAAGAAACTCTGCGACGCGATGTAAAGTGAACGTTTTGTTATTGTAGTATTTTTTTTATTTGTTTTCACAGGCTCACTGCAATAAAAATGCACGACACCTAGCGTTTGTATAGAAATGAATATGATGGAGATGATGATTTTGTTGATGTTGATTACTTCTCCCACACAAACTTAGAAGACAATCTAAAATTCATCGATAAGACTGTCCTTTTTTTATTTGACTCTTATTTCAATCGTAGCTCGACAGGATCAAATGTTGATGCGCTCAAATTGAACTCAGATAAAAGAGGGAGAAAAATAGAAAAAAATCAAATTATTATTTTTTATTGATATTATAATAAAGAGTAAATGCGTTTTACATTACTAATAACACACGATCTTGTAATATTTAAAATGTTGGGCACGAACACTCAAACGACTGGCAAGGCGCCAATTCAATGTTGCAATACGAAGTAGTGAACGGCTTTCAACGAATGTACAGTACGATAAGTGGTGCAACAAACTGCACATGATCCCATTCCAAATAAGTGGATACAATTCTTACTTAAGCAACACATTTAGAAATAGTATGATGATAAATATGATATTTTAAAATTCAATAGATTGCAAGTAAAGATATAAAACTACTTACTATGATAAAACCAAATAAAGTTATTTCCAATGATGATATAAAACTAAAATTCTTTTGAAAAGCCTTCCAAATCTTATAATCGCACTTATAAACATTTTCATCTTTCTCCACTTGTTATACTTTCGTTTTACATGAACGAAGTGGCATAACCATGTAAGTTGGTTTTGTCTGTTACAACAAAAACCCCTTCGTCGACCATGCCTTGTCTATTAATAGAACAGTGTTGGCTTATTTGTTCGGGATAACATAGTATATTGCTGTTGCCAAATGGTCCCTTTATTGTTGTTTTTATAAAAACGTTTGTTCTTTAGTATTAAGTACTTACCGATACTTTATATTAATAAACATTAAGATTATTTATAAATGTGTTCTTTGGGGTTTAAGGAAAAATGCAATATTGAACAGATTGATGAAGGCAACGAAAGTGATTTACTTGAAGCAACGAACTCACCTTTAACATTTTGATTTAGACAAGTATCTCCTAATTCGAATCAGGTTTCCTCTAGCGGCTATCCGGTTAGGGAAACTGTCCACCCACCGAGATTACCTCTCGCCATGACACCCCTATTCACAGGGTGCCCCATATTCGATCCCTTCACTTACCCCTCTAAGTCATTCCTACCACCCTTTTAAAGAGTTTTAAGCCGAATACATCGCTATCAATTTAAAAAATGAGTCTTAGTGAAAATTAGATACACATCAAAAACAAGTTATTAACAAGAGATCAAAACAAAATACATTGTAAAAAATGGTTTTCTTGGTTTCATTAAACCATTAATATTCTTTATTCTCTCTTCTTTCCAGGCAACCTCTTTATTTTCAGGTTATATCTGGCGGCTGATAAAGATTATTTAGGCTTGATCTGGAGGCGGCTCTTCCCAATGTGTAAGTAAAATATTCAAGTTTTTGGTGGTAGCGTTGTAATTACATTCCGAACACACTGTAGAACCTTTTTATAACGTTTCTTTTTTATTTTTGTATATTAACGAAAGGTCAAACAATGCAGATCGGGGCCGTACAAATTCGTAACACTTGAGCTCAACCGCGAGAGGAATCTTGTGCCCAATGTAGTAAGTAGACACTTAACTGCTTGTTTCCCTTCTACTAACTTTTAGTCGTTTTCCTCTTTTCTTTCTATGCAATATTCACCGAATTTAACTGATTTGTCGTCATCCGTTCTGCCGTCCAAGTTAAGAGTACAATGTCTTTGGGAATTATACCAGGTGTAGAGGTTCCTGGTTTATTACACCGATAGGCCAACAATCGATACCTCAACAATTACCTGCTGTCATCAAGAGAGATTGATCGCTAAGCTAGAAGAAGCAAGAAGCTAAACTTTGCCACAACAAAAAGAATTGTTTTAACAAATAAATACATAACAAGTGTTTTATTGAAGCCTTAACCACCAGTGCCTTGTTAGCAACACGTAAGTATCGCCTGTATACTTGTTGTGTTGTCTAATATTCATAGTTTTGTTGTTCGTCTTTGTGCAACAAATAATATACTTTCGGATCTAAATCTACTCTGTAGATTTAGAACCCCTACAAAATAAAACAATTCTTTTTTACAATTTTTATTTGTCGTCTTCGCTTTTGTTCTGTTGCCAAATAATCAACAGAGTCATTTTAAAGAGAAAAACTCTTTTATATGTATGTTTGTTGTTGCTTAACACAAATTAATATACACTAACACCATAATAACTTTGCTGCATCATTTTTTGTTACATTTGTTTTGCTTACATTCGTGAACAACAAATATAACAAGCTTTGTCATCTGTTTCATTGCTTCTTTGATCGATCTGTCATTTACCATTGTTCGACTATCGATCAGCTGGTGTGGTGAAAAAGAGTTGTGCAGTTACTGCGACGAGTAACGTAACGTATAAAGCTAGTACATATATTGAATACCACAATAATAAACAAACAATCGAATGTAACAAAAAATAAAATTAATAGGAACAAATAAATAAAATAAATCTTAATTAAAAAAGCACATAAATCAACAACATACATATATCTAAAAATTAACAACATTGTTAATAGTTCTCTTAAGGTTTAAAAAATAAACGTTTATTGAGAAAAGAAGGATATACGCAACAAACACATTTGAAATTTTATATAACTTCATTTATTTCTAAATTTATAAATAAATTGATAGTTGAAGTGTTTGTATATTCAAAAATAATAAAATTTATGAATAATAAAAATGATTTTAAAAATATCAATAAATATCAAAAACTAAATATCAACAAATAAAAACTAATAAAATAAACTAAATAACTAATTTAAATTAATATTACAAAATGGTTTCTAAATTGTATGCTAGATTTGAATACGAGACCGAAAACCTAATGCAAACTTGCATTAAATAGGAAGCACAGCAGAGAACGAGCTGTCTGATTCTTTAATAGAAACAAAATTAGAATCAATGGATGAAGATTGGCACAATGTACGCAGTGAATTTGAAAGTGTCTATTTTAATGAGGGAGATGAAGATTACAAATTGAGGCCTAGAGATATGTTTGCTTTCGCCAGAGATAATTACCAAGTGACTAAAGCTACTATATTGGAAATATTAAAAAATCGAAAGGCGCAGAGCAAAAGTAATACCGCTAGAGGCGAAGTTTCAAATCCATCGTTGTTTCACAGCTCAGCTATTTATTCTCCGGGTACAACGTTTGATATGTCTGAGATTTGTATTAAAGTGCCACCTTGTGACACTCAAGACTTCTACGGAAGTTATGAAGAATGGCCAACATTTAGAGATATGTTTACGGCTATTTATGGAAATCATCCCAGACTCACACCTGCGCAGAAACTCTATCATTTGCGTAACAAATCAAAGGGTGAGGCTGGTAGAATTGTAGATCGGTACCCTTTATCTGATCAAAATTTTTCATTAGCATGGAAAGCATTATTGGTGCGATACGAAAATGTTAGGGTACTAGTTGATAACCAACTGAAGATATTATTCAATCTTTCTGCAGCAACGGTTGAATCTAGCAAAGATATTAAAAGAATACAATCGACAGTAAGTGACTGCTTGGCTATATTGAGAGCTCATAGTATAAAAGTGGATCGATGGGATCCAATTTTAATATACTTATGTTCAACTAAGCTTCCGGTTGATACACTGACCCTATGGGAACAATCGCTCGAATCGCATTCAGAGCTAGCCAAATGTTCGCAAATGGAGGATTTTCTTAAGAACATACATCGGGATCTAGAGCGAATAGATGGTCTCAGAAGTCAAACAGCTTAAACTTAATTTAGAAGTGATCATATATCGCATCAAAATGCTCATTCGACACAATCATATAGATGTGTCATGTGTTATAAAAACCATATTTTGAAAAATTGTATGAGATTTAATAATATGACTGTTAGTCAGAGAAAAGAGTTCGCAAGAGAAAAGAGGTTATGTAATAACTGCTTAAAGAGTGGACATAACAAAAGGGAATGTTTCAGTGCGCACTGATGTTTATATTGTAAGAAAAAACCTCACACAAAGTTGCACATTGGAAACGCAGACACTCTACCAAGAAGTCATACGACATCAATTATATCACATAGAGCTTCAGAGGCAAAGATTCAACTAAGTCATGTCACGACAGATGACATGCCCTGTACTACAAGTTCTACCTTCCAAAGCTCAAATACGCAAACAAATTTATCAATCAATCAATGGCAAATCTATAATCTTTTGTGAATGGCAACAAGCGTTGTCGGTGAGTACATGCAAATGGAAAGAAAAACGGAAGAAAAAGAAAAGAAGGAAAATATTGGAAATATCGAAACCAATATAAAAGTGATGAAGATTCTTTATATGCATCTTTATCTCAATGTGAAAGTAAAATGTTTAAGTTTGTGGTGGTAGCGTTGTAATTACATTCCGAACACACTGCAGAACCTTTTTGTAACGTTTCTTTTCTTGTATTTTCAGAAAAAGTCAAACAATGCAGATCGTCGACGAACCCTGAGTGGAATTCTGTACCCAATGTGGTAAGTAGACACTAAACTCCTTGTTTCCCCTTTTACTAACTTTAACTTTTTTCTATTACTAATAACACACGATCTTGTAATATTTAAAATGTTGGGCACGAACACTCAAACGACAGGCAAGGCGCCAATTCAATGTTGCAATACGAAGTAGTGAACGGCTTTCAACGAATGTACAGTACGATAAGTGGTGCAACAAACTGCACATGATCCCATTCCAAATAAGTGGATACAATTCTTACTTAAGCAACACATTTAGAAATAGTATGATGATAAATATGATATTTTAAAATTCAATAGATTGCAAGTAAAGATATAAAACTACTTACTATGATAAAACCAAATAAAGTTATTTCCAATGATGATATAAAACTAAAATTCTTTTGAAAAGCCTTCCAAATCTTACAATCGCACTTATAAACATTTTCATCTTTCTCCACTTGTTATACTTTCGTTTTACATGAACGAAGTGGCATAACCATGTAAGTTGGTTTTGTCTGTTACAACAAAAACCCCTTCGTCGACCATGCCTTGTCTATTAATAGAACAGTGTTGGCTTATTTGTTCGGGATAACATAGTATATTGCTGTTGCAAAATGGTCCCTTTATTGTTGTTTTTATAAAAACGTTTGTTCTTTAGTATTAAGTACTTACCGATACTTTATATTAATAAACATTAAGATTATTTATAAATGTGTTCTTTGGGGTTTAAGGAAAAATGCAATATTGAACAGATTGATGAAGGCAACGAAAGTGATTTACTTGAAGCAACGAACTCACCTTTAACATCTCTAGCGGCTATCCGGTTAGGGAAACTGTCCACCCACCGAGATTACCTCTCGCCATGACACCCCTATTCACAGGGTGCCCCATATTCGATCCCTTCACTTACCCCTCTAACTCATTCCTACCACCCTTTTAAAGAGTTTTAAGCCGAATACATCGCTATCAATTTAAAAAATGAGTCTTAGTGAAAATTAGATGCACATCAAAAACAAGTTATTAACAAGAGATCAAAACAAAATACATTGTAAAAAATGGTTTTCTTGGTTCCATTAAACCATTAATATTCTTTATTCTCTCTTCTTTCCAGGTGTTCAGGCAAACGGCTGAATTGCCTGGGAAAGCTGTGGATGTAGACAATTTACTCTCTGGAGCCCAAACAAAATCCAAGACCAGTTTTTATCTTGAACGTTATAACTAGCAGAAACGTAGAAGAGTATTAGAACTCAAATCCAATATAAATGAAACAAAAGCCTTTAACTTTCTTAGCTAAGAATTATATTTATTAGGATTTCACTGGATTTGACTAACAGCTTCAGAAGTCGAATTAGAACAGAATTCAAGATGATGCGGAAATTAGACTCCCAATATGGCCATTAGAGAAGGCCGATAAAAAGAAAATATGAAAATGGGAAAAGGAAAAACATAGAATAATTATCTTAACTGCGATAACAGTTCGAATGGATAGTACAATAACAATGGTGCTATTCATATTTAAGATACAGTTTAAGGAAATGAAAATGGTTTACGTTTTGACGTAAACATTCCGCCCCCCATGGCAAGGGGACATGACAATTATATAATCAATTCATTTAGGACTAAATTCATATGACTAAATGACTTAATGCATAACTTATTATATCATAATACAATATGTCTTTTCAAGCGATTTCAATTGGCATATTAGTATTTAAAAAAAAGGTATCGTAAATTCAGAATAAAAGTGGTGGAAGAGAGTACAATTATTTGTATTAATTTGAAAATGTTCCATATAGCACTAATCCGAAAAGGGTATTTTGAGCTGTAGGAAGTCCATGGCGAATAAAGATGCCGTCGACAATAATTTTGGAATATATGTCAACACCAATGACGATATCAACAGAAGCTGCCTTATAGAATTTGCTATCTGCTAGGACGAAGTTTTTGAAACTGAGTTTTGAAGACTCGGGCAGCGATTGCTTAGGAGTTGTAATTCCAATCCTGTTCCTCATTCGCAATATAGCCTCTATCTTTGTCTTGGAATCGACGCAGGATGTCAAGGTGACGGGGCACATAACTTCATCTTCCAACTCGAGCGTAGACAACCTCAACTTATCTACGAAGCGTTTGGAAATGCAGCTCATGGGGGCCGCGGAATCCAATAAACACCTTGCCAACTGTGTGCTATTTGCTCCGTTGATTTTGACGACTGCAGTAGGAAGAAGAGGGGTGGCATTCTGCCTAAGAAGTGCCGACAAAGAGGTAATACTGGATGTCGATGTTGACCTCGGTATTGAGCCGGTAGTGGCTGAAGAGTCCTTGGGGGTGGTGATATCAAGAGGGATAACCATCTTATTGGTATTTTTCGTCGAGGATGATTTGGCCTTTTGTAACCTTGGGTGTTGATGTAACAAGGAGTGGTGCTTTTTGTGGCAATATCCACATCCTGTGGTGGTAAAACAGGTGCCCTGTGAATGGGTATGCGCCAGGCAGTTCATACAGTACCCATATTTCTTGACCGCATTTAACCTTTCTGCGGAGTTCATGGCACGAAATTTCCAGCACGATTTCAGAGGATGTTTTTTGCGGCACAACCTGCAGGCAAATTCCGAATAACGAGAAGACGAAGGACCCTTCATTGTAATATTGTAAATAAAGAACTGAAAAAAAGGAATGAATTAAAAAAAAAGAAGAATGTAATTGAATTGAACTAAAATAGAAATTGGAAAAATTATTTGTCTCAGGCTTTGTATGAGGATAAAGTCTAAGACTGGTTATCTGGTAAGATGACCAGCTTTGTAATTGGCCGGGTGATTCTTCCCTTCTGAGTGAGAATGTCAGCAACGCGCACTTTCTGATCATTGCCATGATAGACACGAATCACTCTGCCCAAACGCCAACAGGTCGGAGGGAGATTTTCTTCCTGAATAACCACCAGCATATTTTCTTCGACATCGCGTTCTGGACTTTTCCATTTAGTCCTTTTATGAAGTTCCTTCAGATATTCAGTCTTCCATCTGCTACAAAAATGTTGATACATTGATCGGAGTCGTTGCCAGCGATTTTGAATAGAAATGGATGACTGGGAAATTTCTGGTTCTAAGGGAGATAGTATAGGAGAACCGATTAATGGGCTTTGAGAAGATGGGGATATTGGTCTAGAGTTTAGACACGCCTCAATTTTAGTCAGTAAGGTTTGAAATTCTTCGTATGTGTATTTTGTATTGCCAGCAACTTTGCGGAAATGTTGTTTGAAACTTTTTACGCCGGCTTCCCAGAGTCCACCCATATGAGGAGCTCCGGGAGGTATGAAATGCCATGTCAAATTTTGGTGGGCGTAATTAGACATTAGAGCTTGATTCGAGGTATCGATAAAATCTTTTGCGATCCTCTTGGAAGCTCCGACAAACGTAGTTCCGTTGTCAGAGTGCAAATGGAGTGGACAGCCACGACGGGAAACAAAACGGTTAAAAGCTGCCAGAAAATTGGATGTGGATAAGTCGGATGTTGCTTCAAGGTGAATTGCCTTTGTGGAAAAACAGACAAACACACACACATATCCTTTGGTAATCCGACAATATCTTCCAGTATAGCTCTTGATATCAAAAGGTCCTGCAAAATCCAAACCGGTATGTGTGAATGGTCGGGATATTTCACATCTTTCTGGAGGCAATGCAGCCATCAACTGCTTTTGGCATCTTTTCTTATATATGACACAGATCTTGCAATTTCGTATAATGGATTTTATAAGATTTTGAACCTTTGGTATCCAGTATTGTGTACGGACCAATCGGAGGACAAGTTGATTGCCCCCGTGTAGACTTATCAAATGGATATATTGGACTAATAGTTTGGAATATTGACAGTTGTATGGAACAATTATAGGATGTCTCTCGTTGTAGGATAACTCTGGACATACTTCAAGTCGACCGCAAATTCGCATTAGACCTTCAGAATCTAAGAAGGGATTCAAACTCAATAGTTTACTAGAAGAAGGAATCGGTCTTTGGATACTCAGCGCCATGTACTCATTTGGGTAAAATAGCCTTTGGTATATGGATATCAGCTTTGAGCGAACATGGATGATTTCTTGAGCTTCTATGACGTTACCATAACGTCTATTATTGGTCTTATATCGTGGATGAGTACCATTTATAAAACGATATACATACGCCATAATCCTTAGAGCTCTTGGGTAGGAAGAAAAATTCGTTAAGTAATCGTGGAAGTTTTCGAAATATGCAAAATGTGTCTTTACCGACTTCTTCTCTAATTCAGTTGGTTGGACATCTTGATTAGAGTAATTTTCCCAAGGAGTGTCAAATTCAGATAACCATGCAGGACCTCTCCACCAAAGATCATTTTGGATTAGATCCTGTGGATAGACACCTCTACTCGCGAGATCGGCGGGGTTGTCCTCTGAACTGACGTGGTGCCATTTTGGTGGATCGACAGTTTGGATGATTTTAGAAATTCGATTTGCCACAAAAGTATTCCAATGACATGGTTGTTTTGCTAACCATGAAATCACAATGGTGGAGTCCGTCCAGCAATGTAATGAGTGACGGTGAACGTCGAATTGAGGCACTAAATTGTCAATTAACTCAGCAAGGAGAGTAGCTGCACATAATTCCAGTCTAGGAATAGATAGGGACTTAATCGGTGCTACTTTCGTTTTGGAAGCCACTAAGTGGGTGTACACAGTAGTTGGAGAAACAATTCGAATGTATAGTACTGCGGCATAAGCCCTTTCTGATGCATCCGAAAACCCGTGGAATTCAATTTCATGGTCTGGGACAAAGTTAAACCAACGTGGAACACGAATCTCATTGATGGAAGAAAATGAAGACTGAAATGCTTTCCATAAGTCAATTGATTCTGGTGATATCTCTTCATCCCAACCCACTTTATCTAGCCATATTTTTTGCATAATTATCTTGGCTAATACAATGACCGGCGAAATCCAGCCAGCAGGATCAAATAGTCTTGATATTTGGGAAAGAACCTCTCGTTTGGTATAAGTATGGGGAGAAAATGCAATGGAGGAGAAATAAAACTGATCAGAATACGCATTCCAACGAATGCCTAACATTTTAGCTGCACAATGTGCGTTAAAGTCTAAAAAGCCATCATTAAGAAGATCATCGGGTGACAAGTCCGAGAGAATTGTTGTTGAATTGGAGGTCCATTTTCGCATGTTGAATCCTGCGGACTTCAGTGATAGGATTAATTCACGTACGGTTGAAATTGCTGTGTGTATGTCATGTGCCCCTGCAAGGGCATCATCCACATACATGCAATTCTTCAAAACATGACTAGCTAATGGATATGAATCATGGACGTCATTGGCTAGTTGAATCATCGTACGTATCGCAAGATACGGTGCACAGTTAACACCAAAGGTTACAGTTTTCAACTCGTAATCCTTTATTGGTTCAGTTGGATTCTGGCGGAACAGGATTCTCTGAAAGTGGGTGTGAGAAGGAGACACAAGGATTTGGCGATACATTTTCTCTATATCACCACTGAAAACATAGCGATAAAAACGCCACTTAAGGATGAGAATAGTCAAGTCGTTCTGTAAGGCTGGACCAGTATACAAAACGTCATTTAGACTTGTACCATTCGATGTTGCGTAAGAAGCATTGAAAACCACACGGACTTTAGTGGTAGAACTATCTGGCTTCACAACAGCATGATGCGGCAAATAGTAGTGATCGGGAAATTCTGAGATTGTAGGAGGTAGAACAGGAATCATATGTCCTAATTTGACGTACTCTTCAATATTAAGATCATATTCTCTTTTCAATTCTGGATTTTTTAGCAGACGACTTTCATTCCGAATATATTGGGCCATCGCACCTTTTCTCGACTGACCTAAGGTTAGTGAATCGGAATATTCGTCTTTAAACGGAAGCGAAACAGTATACCTTCCATTCCCATCTCTAGTTGTCGTTCTCTGATAAATTTCTTCACATTGTCTATCAGCTTTGGACATTACACGCTGTTGTGGAATATTCTCCACCTCCCAAAATTTCAGAAGACTTTTTTCTAAAGAAATTTCGCAGAAGTACGATACACATGTAGAGAAGGACTTTGGAGCTTTGGTTGGAATGGGGCCAGTGAGGATCCATCCGAATACGGTCTCCTGGGCGAATAAGGATCCGCAAATCGCTCGCTGGCACCCAGATAACATGACAGAAGGAAGTAAATCTGCGCCAATTAGGATATCAATCTTGGAGCTTCGGTAAAAATACGGGTCAGCTAAGTCTAACTTTGGTAGCGAATAGAGAATATCAGACCCTATTGTGCAGGTTGGAAGGTTATTAGAAAGATGAGGCACAATTAAGGCTGAAACATCGATCTCGAAAGCTTTATCCGCATAGGAGCCCAGGATAAAGCGACATTCTTTTTGAACAGCAGCTGAAACCGTGTTATTAAGGCCTGATATGATAGCGGATGTAGGTTTGGAAGGTAACCTGAGGGCATTGGCAAGGTTTTGAGATATAAAGGTACCTTCTGAACCTGAATCTATGAGGGCCCTCGCTATATAACCAACACCTGCATGAATAACTTTTACTACAGCGGTACCAAGCAAAACGCCGTTTGAATTAACCGCGAAACAATTTTGAATAACATCGGTTGAAGAGTTAGTGGACTGTATGGAGGAATTTGGAGAAGCTTGGAATGCAAATGTCCTAGGCGTTTGAAGTGGTGTATTGGAAGCTGCAGGAGAAGTACTAACGGGTATATTTTGTTGCTCAGCATCCTTATGGAGGAGAGTATTATGTCGTTTTTGACATTTGAAGCAAGAATTTTTGCTTTTACAATTTTTGACAGCATGGGAGCTGGAAAAACAATTTAGACAGAGATTGCTGGCCTTTATTTCCGCCAATCTCTGTGCGTAATTAAATGCTAGGAACCGAGGACATTTCCTTATTATGTGGAATTCATTGGAACACAATCGACATTTAGTTTTGTTGACGTTGGTTTGGTATGTCTGAAGCCTGTCCTTCTGATTCTTTGTATTTAAAGGTTTGGACTTATCCCCTTTGGACTTGGAATCAGAAGAACTTCTCATTTCAGAGACAGCCTCCAATGTTCTATACCTGTTGGTAAGAAATATATCCAATTCAGACCATTTTGGAATGCTGGTTTTATCCGAGAGTGTTTGTTCCCATAAAGTTAAAGTAGAATCTGGAAGACAGTTGGAACAAATGAACACGAAAATCGGATTCCAGCTTTCAACGTCAACATAATAAAGCTTTAGAGTGGATATACAAGAATTGATATCTCTTTGAAGCTTCTTGATGGATATTGCAGTTTCTGTATGAATATTGACAAGTGAAAATAAATTCTTTAGTTGGCCATTAACCAGCACTCGTTTGTTCTCAAACCTGGAACATAGATTGTTCCACGCTAAGGTGAATCCGGAATTCGTCAAAGGACTTTTCCTAACAATGTCGTGTGCTTCACCTTTGGTCTTCTGACTTAGGTAGAACAATTTTTCTACTGGGCTTAATTTGGAATTGCGTATGCAAATGGCCGTAAACATGTCACGAAAGCTTGGCCAGGATTTGTAGTCCCCATGGAATGTGGATAACTCAATTGGAGGCAAGTTAAAAGAGTTACTGGACCGTAAACTTGGACTAGAAGAGGAAGGAGAGAGAGGTTCCAGAGCTTCATTGAGCTTTGAGATACAACGACAGTAAGTGGAGTAGGATTTCTTATATTTATCCTTTACTGTCGCTATCTCATTGGTTTCTCGATCATCAGACACCTCTTCATCTTCTTCTTCGTTTTCCAAGTCCGCCAAACATTGCTCATAAGCTTGCTTAAGATGTGACCATGTGGATTTCACCTCTTCAGTGTGGGTTTCCAACAAACAACGCGTTGTTAAAGGAAACTCATTGGCAGTAAGTGCCGCTTCAAATTCTACCAAGCTGTCAGCTAGGCGAATAAATTTGTCGAGTGACATGACTACAAACGAGAAAAATAAATAGACTAAAGCGGATTATATATAATGAATAAAAAACTTTCAAGATTTTGGAACAGTAACCTTTAGCCACCGGAATCGGTACCTGTTCGTAGGTTTGAGATTTGAATATAATGTGGAAGAAAAAGTAGCACAGGTATACAAATGACGTAGTTATTACTGATTTCGAATGCTAATTAAATAATTAATTTATATCTTTAAAATTTAATTAAAGTATTTGATTGTTATTAGTTTTAATTATTTTCTTTTTATTTTTATTATTTTTTTTTTAATTTTTTTTATTTTAGTTTCAGTAGAATAATATTTTTCTCCAGTAATTTCAATTAATTAATTCTAATTAATTACATTTAATTGGTTGAATTTTCAAGTAAAAGTGGAAATAGCGGCAAGTATATATATTTTTTGTTTAATATTTTTTTTTTTGATTGTAGAAAAGTTATATTTGGTACCACTGTGCGTTGGTATCCAGATATTACTATTTGTATCTAAATACTTCTAAATGTGCTTCAGACACATCACGAAGAAAAATCCAACTTTGCCAAAGTAGAAGAACAGCTGATCGTTCAAGAGTTCATTGAACTCAATGTAAGTGGAAAGAATTTGGAAGAATTGGAATAATTGGAAGAATTTGGAATGATATGCTCCGCTCTGAGCAATCAATCCTCCGTTGGTATGTGTCGCACTCTCAAACAGCGAGAATGACACGTAAAAAAATAAATAGAGAAAAGAAACAAATGTAACAACTGATTGAGCAGGAGAACACAAACTCTGCAATAGTAGTTACACGGCAATGATACAACAACACGATTGAGCTGTAATCTCACCCACAATTGACTAGCGCATTCTCATTGGACATGCGCACTCAAAGCAGAGAATGTAAACATTGGTTGCAATAGGATGTATGTGGCTGAGGAAGAGAACGCTGAGTTGAGCTTTAGTTTCAGCATGCACGAGAGAAGCGCATTCTCAGTGGACATGCGCATTCGAACAATAGAAAAGAAGAGAGTGATGCTGAAACTGAGTTAAGAGAAGTGTGCAAGCTCTGCTCACCACATACATGCATAAGAGTAGCCTATGCTCACTCGGACCACAGAAGTCGAAGGTAAGCTGAAAAATAACGTAAGAGAACAAGGCAAGCTTGGATCTCAGCATCCATACGTAAGAGCATGTACTCAATGGACATGCGTACTAGAATCATAGGAATAAATATGAAGCTGAAAAGAGAATGGAATGGATCAAGCAAGGCGAGTGAACAACAATATGGAAGAGATCATGCATGGAGGTTGCTCGCTTCCATGTGTGTTATGAGTGCCTGGATGATATTGGAGAAAGAGCTTCTAATGTGTTTTCAGGGTAAACCTGAAATGTATCTGGTACAACAGAGAGATGTTCCCATAAACAAATAGTGAACAGTGAGGCTATTGCAGATAAATGTTATGACTCTGTTATTAACAGAGTTCTACAGAACACGTTTTTTAATTTAACAGCGTCGAATCTGTTACACTAAGGAGCAAATGTACCACTTATGTTCACACATATGTTAAACGAATTTTGCCCCTTTTTTATTATTTTTGGAATTCTTCTTTTCCTTTAAACGAATTTATTTAATTTTTTAAGAATTTCCCACAGAGAATTGTTTTGTGTAGTCTCACTCACGGCTGTTTTTCCACACACAGGATATATATATATATATATTTTTTTTTTTGATTAATTGAACTTACTCACAATCCACTTGTTGTCTTAAGGCAGTTGGCACAGGTTAGGAATTTCCTCTTGATAAATCAGCAATTCCTATGTTGTCGATCCTCTCTTCTTAGATATTTGGGGAGTTAGCCAGGAATTTCCAGATATATAATTACTTTAAGTTTATAATTTTTGTTCAGGTTATGTGTGAAAACACGACACGGTAATTTATATAAATTTATGTGGATCTTTCGACTTCTTGTTTAGTACTGAAAAGACGAAATTATTAGAAGAGAAACGTACCTACAGGAATCAAAAGCTTCTGCAGCTGAAATCTCTGGAGAGCAGCTTGTCGATCCGGTTCGACGTGGACCAAAATGTTCAGGCAAACGGCTGAATTGCCTGGGAAAGCTGTGGATGTAGACAATTTACTCTCTGGAGCCCAAACAAAATCCAAGACCAGTTTTTATCTTGAACGTTATAACTAGCAGAAACGTAGAAGAGTATTAGAACTCAAATCCAATATAAATGAAACAAAAGCTTTTAACTTTCTTAGCTAAGAATTATATTTATTAGGATTTCACTGGATTTGACTAACAGCTTCAGAAGTCGAATTAGAACAGAATTCAAGATGATGCGGAAATTAGACTCCCAATATGGCCATTAGAGAAGGCCGATAAAAAGAAAATATGAAAATGGGAAAAGGAAAAACATAGAATAATTATCTTAACTTCGATAACAGTTCGAATGGATAGTACAATAACAATGGTGCTATTCATATTTAAGATACAGTTTAAGGAAATGAAAATGGTTTACGTTTTGACGTAAACACCTCCTTCAAAAAGTGATCACAAATTATAGCTGAAAACTCCGAAATGTCAATATTTAAGGAGTTATGGCCATTTTAAAGTATACTATTTTTCCTCTTTATAATAGTGATCACAAATTATAGCTAAAAACCCCGAAATGTCAATATTTAAGGAGTTATGGCCATATTAAAGTATGCTATTTTTCCTCCTTCAAAAAGTGATCACAAATTATAGCTTAAAACCCCGAAATGTCAATATTTAAGGAGTTATGGCCATTTTAAAGTATACTATTTTTCCTCTTTCAAAAAGTGATCACAAATTATAGCTAAAAACCCCGAAATGTCAATATTTAAGGAGCTATGGCCATTTTAAAGTATGCTATTTTTCCTCCTTCAAAAAGTGATCACAAATTATAGCTAAAAACCCCGAAATGTCAATATTTAAGGAGTTATGGCCATTTTAAAGTATGCTATTTTTCCTCTTTCAAAAAGTGATCGCAAATTATAGCTAAAACCCCCAAAATGTCAATATTTAAGGAGTTATGGCCATTTTAAAGTATGCTATTTTTCGTCTTTCAAAAAGTGATCACAAATTATAGCTAAAAACCCCGAAATGTCAATATTTAAGGAGTTATGGCCATTTTAAAGTATGCTATTTTTCCTCCTTCAAAAAGTGATCACAAATTATAGCTAAAAAACCCGAAATGTCAATATTTAAGGAGTTATGGCCATTTTAAAGTATGTTATTTTTCCTCCTTCAAAAAGTGATCACAAATTATAGCTAAAAAACCCGAAATGTCAATATTTAAGGAGTTATGGCCATTTTAAAGTATGCTATTTTTCCTATTTCAAAAAGTGATCACAAATTATAGCTTAAAACACAAAAAATGTCAATATTTAAGGAGTTATGGCCATTTTAAAGTATACTATTTTTCCTCTTTATAATAGTGATCACAAATCATAGCTAAAAACTCCGAAATGTCAATATTTAAGGAGTTATGGCCATTTTAAAGTATGCTATTTTTTCCTCCTTAAAAAGTGATCACAAATTATAGCTGAAAACCCCGAAATGTCAATATTTAAGGAGTTATGGCCATTTTAAAGTATGTAATTTTTCCTCTTTCAAAAAGTGATCACAAATTATAGCTAAAACCCCGAAATGTCAATATTTAAGGAGTTATGGCCATTTTAAAGTAAACTATTTTTCCTCTTTATAATAGTGATCACAAATTATAGGTAAAAACCCCGAAATGTCAATATTTAAGGAGTTATGGCCATTTTAAAGTATGCTATTTTTCCTCTTTCAAAAAGTGATCACAAATTATAGCTAAAAACCACGAAATGTCAATATTTAAGAAGTTATGGCCATTTTAAAGTATGCTACTTTTCCTCATTCAAAAAGTGATCACAAATTATAGCTAAAAACCCCGAAATGTCAATATTTAAGGAGTTATGGCCATTTTAAAGTATGCTATTTTTCCTCTTTCAAAAAGTGATCACAAATTATAGCTAAAAACCACGAAATGTCAATATTTAAGAAGTTATGGCCATTTTAAAGTATGCTATTTTCCCCCCTTCCAAAAAGTGATCACAACTTATAGCTTAAAACCCCGAAATGTCAATATTTCAGGAGTTATGCCATTTTAAAGTATGTAATTTTTCCTCCTTCAAAAAGTGATCACAAATTGCTAAAAACCCCGAAATGTCAATATTTAAGAAATTATGGCCATTTTAAAGTATGCTATATTTCTTCTTTATAATAGTGATCACAAACTATAGCTAAAAAGCCCGAAATGTCAATATTTAAGGAGTTATGGCCAATTTAAAGTATACTATTTTTCCTCTTTATAATAGTGATCACAAATTATAGCTTAAAACCCCGAAATGTCAATATTTAAGGAGTTATGGCCATTTTAAAGTATGCTATTTTTCCTCCTTCAAAAAGTGATCACAAATTATAGCTTAAAACCCCGAAATGTCAATATTTAAGGAGTTATGGCCATTTTAAAGTATACTAGTTTTCCTCTTTATAATAGTGATCACAAATTATAGCTAAGAACCCCGAAATGTCAATATTTAAGGAGTTATGGCCATTTTAAAGTATGCTATTTTTCCTCTTTCAAAAAGTGATCACAAATTATAGCTAACAACCCCGAAATGTCAATATTTAAGGAGTTATGGCCATTTTAAAGTATGCTATTTTTCCTCTTTCAAAAAGTGATCACAAATTATAGCTAAAAACCCCGAAATGTCAATATTTAAGGAGTTATGGCCATTTTAAAGTATGCTATTTTTCCTCTTTCAAAAAGTGATCACAACTTATAGCTAAAAACCCCGAAATGTCAATATTTAAGGAGTTATGGCCATTTTAAAGTATGCTATTTTTCCTCTTTCAAAAAGTGGTCACAAATTATAGCTAAAAACCCCGAAATGTCAATATTTAAGGAGTTATGGCCATTTTAAAGTATGCTATTTTTTCCTCCTTAAAAAGTGATCACAAATTATAGCTGAAAACCCCGAAATGTCAATATTTAAGGAGTTATGGCCATTTTAAAGTATGCTATTTTTTCCTCCTTAAAAAGTGATCACAAATTATAGCTAAAAACCCCGAAATGTCAATATTTAAGGAGTTATGACCATTTTAAAGTATGCTATTTTTCCTCCTTCAAAAAGTGATCACAAATTATAGCTGAAAACCCCGAAATGTCAATATTTAAGGAGTTATGACCATTTTAAAGTATGCTATTTTTCCTCCTTCAAATTATAGCTAAAAACCCCGAAATGTCAATATTTAAGGAGTTATGGCCATTTTAAAGTATGCTATTTTTCCTCTTTCAAAAAGTGATCACAAATTATAGCTAAAAACCCCGAAATGTCAATATTTAAGGAGTTATGGCCATTTTAAAGTATGCTATTTTTCCTCTTTCAAAAAGTAATCACAAATTATAGCTGAAAACCCCGAAATGTCAATATTTAAGGAGTTATGACCATTTTAAAGTATGCTATTTTCCTCCTTCAAAAAGTGATCACAAATTATAGCTAAAAACCCCGAAATGTCAATATTTAAGGAGTTATGGCCATTTTAAAGTATGCTATTTTTCCTCCTTCAAAAAGTGATCACAAACTATAGTTAAAAACACCTAAATGTCAATATCTATGGAGTTATGGCCATTTTATAGTATGCTATTTTTCCTCCTTCAAAAAGTGATCACAAACTATAGTTATAGCTAAAAACCCCGAAATGTCAATATTTAAGGAGTTATGGCCATTTTAAAGTATGCTATTTTTCCTCTTTCAAAAAGTGATCACAAATTATAGCTAAAAACCCCGAAATGTCAATATTTAAGGAGTTATGGCCATTTTAAAGTATGCTATATTTCCTCCTTCAAAAAGTGATCACAAATTGTAGCTAAAAACCCCGAAATGTCAATATTTAACGAGTTATGGCCATTTTAAAGTATACTATTTTTCCTCTTTCAAAAAGTGATCACAAATTATAGCTAAAAACCCCGAAATGTCAATATTTAAGGAGTTATGGCCATTTTAAAGGATGCTATTTTTCCTCTTTCAAAAAGTGATCACAAATTATAGCTAAAAACCCCGAAATATCAATATTTAAGGAGTTATGGCCATTTTAAAGTATGCTATTTTTCCTCCTTCAAAAAGTGATCACAAATTATAGCTAAAAACCCCGAAATGTCAATATTTAAGGAGTTATGGCCATTTTAAAGTATACTATTTTTCCTATTTATAAAAGTGATCACAAATTATAGCTAAAAACCCCGAAATGTCAATATTTAAGGAGTTATGGCCATTTTAAAGTATGCTATTTTTCCTCCTTCAAAAAGTGATCACAAATTATAGCTAAAAACCCCGAAATGTCAATATTTAAGGAGTTATGGCCATTTTAAAGTATACTATTTTTCCTATTTATAATAGTGATCATAAATTATAGCTAAAAACCCCGAAATGTCAATATTTAAGGAGTTATGGCCATTTTAAAGTATACTATTTTCCTCTTTATAATAGTGATCACAAATTATAGCTAAAAACTCCGAAATGTCAATATTTAAGGAGTTATGGCCATTTTAAAGTATGCTATTTTTCCTCCTTCAAAAAGTGATCACAAATTATAGCTAAAAACCCCGAAATGTCAATATTTAAGGAGTTATGGCCATTTTAAAGTATACTATTTTTCCTATTTATAAAAGTGATCACAAATTATAGCTAAAAACCCCGAAATGTCAATATTTAAGGAGTTATGGCCATTTTAAAGTATGCTATTTCTCCTCCTTCAAAAAGTGATCACAAATTATAGCTTAAAACCCCAAAATATCAATATTTAAGGAGTTATGGCCATTTTAAAGTATACTATTTTTCCTCTTTATAATAGTGATCACAAATTATAGCTAAAAACCCCGAAATGTCAATATTTAACGAGTTATGGCCATTTTAAAGTATACTATTTTTCCTCTTTATAATAGTGATCATAAATTATAGCTAAAAACCCCGAAATGTCAATATTTAAGGAGTTATGGCCATTTTAAAGTATGCTATTTCTCCTCCTTCAAAAAGTGATCACAAATTATAGCTTAAAACCCCAAAATATCAATATTTAAGGAGTTATGGCCATTTTAAAGTATACTATTTTTCCTCTTTATAATAGTGATCACAAATTATAGCTAAAAACCCCGAAATGTCAATATTTAAGGAGTTATGGCCAT